AAGGTCATGGGTTCAGATCCCCATGCCAGCCAGCTGCCAAAAAAAAAAAAAAAAAAAGGTGGGGAGGTGAGACAGGATTGGGGATATAAAATTTTCTGTGTTAAATATTTTGCAACTAGTATGCACTCATGTATTACTTACAATTATAAAGTATATTTTTTATAGCAAAAGCAGAAGTGAGCTTACAGAGGGAAGGTAAGGGCCTGAAGGGGTTGAAAATGGGACTTCCTATAAAGGAACCAGCCTCTGTCCCTAATGAAGTCCTTCCCTGTCCCATTGCTGCAAACCATGGGACTGTCTCCTATGGCTACTTGGAAAAGGAAGATGAGGTCTCCAGTCCCTGCTCAGTCTCAAAGAACCCCCAAAGCAGACCTTCAGTTATCAGGATGCCCTCAGGGGTCAATGAAAACATCCATCTGGTATCAAAAAGTGGGAAGAAGAAAATCAAGAGGAGAAAAAATTCCCAGCTTCACCAACTTGAAGGTTTGGATCTCCAAGTTCAAGGTATGACTATACTAAGTTCTCCTTTGGAGATCTATACATCATGGTGCAAACTTAACTCCAACCCTAGGCTAAAAATAACACTTTCTATCAAGTTATTTGTATTTTCTTTTTTTTTTTTTTTTGTCTTTTTTCTTTTTCCGTGTCCGGCAACGGATCGCAACCCTCAGTGTGGCCCCCGTTCCGGACCGGGGACCGGCAACAGAATTGCAACCCTTGGTGCTGCTCCCGCACCTCGCTCAGCCAGTGAGCGGGAACCGGTCTGTATGTGGGATCCGAACCCTCGGGCGGGAGCACCGCCACGCTTCCCAAGCGGCGCACTTATCCAGTGCGCCACCGGGCCGGCCCTGTATTTTCTTTTTTGATTCTAAGGCTATTTTATGTATGAAAATGTTGTGTTCCAGAGATGTGAAATGACCTGCCCAAGGTTACACAGCAAGGCAGAGGCAGAACCTACCTTCAGAATTCTAACAACTGTTTGTTTGTTTGTTTTTTATCCATTATACTATACTGCCCTGTTTCAAACCCAACATTCTCTTTTGTTACCGTTAATCTTGAAGCCAGCCCCAGTCCTAACCCACAGTGGGCTCATGTGCTTCTGGTCTTAGCTCAGTGGAAATGGCTTGTCTTGGTTTCTGCCCTTCTTTGCTCCCTCCTCCCATCTTATCACCCACAAATCTCTCTTGACCATACTCCCTTCTAGAAAAGAGCAATCCTGGGTAGGAGGGGAGGGATAGATTTGGTTCCCAGCCTGAAGTGGCTCAAGGTTGCCTGGCTCTTTTCTGAACCATTGCAGGAATGATCCTTACCAGGAAAGCTTTGCATCCATGTTAAGTGGGCCACCTCCCCTCTCCCACTGGATGCCTTGCTAAAGCAGCCTCTTGACCCTAGCCTTGGAGGGGGACAACAGGTTATCTGTGGCCATGATCCAAGAGCCTAAGATCCTGAGATGAAGATTTTTGAGAGATCATGAAAGATAACTTATGGTGGCAGGAATCAGTAAACTGGGACAACAGCAGCAGCTGAGTTCAAGGATCAGTGTCTGGGAGTAATTTAGGAAAGTTTGGTGTTGACAGCTATGTCTGGGAGTTGAACATTATGGCCAAACCAGCTTTTGGTCTCCTTGGCTTCTTCAGGCTAATGAAGTTCTGGCCCAGGACAAAGAGACAGCTGTGGTGTGGCAGAAGTCAGGACTTGTGGGGGCCCGAGCTCAGCTTTGCTGTTTCCCAGCAGTGTCATTTAGGCAAGTCACTTAGGAAAGGAAGAAAGGAAATCAGCATCTGCTGAAGTGAGTGCAACGCCCTTTCATATTTGCCATCCTCACTACGGTTTAGTGAGGAGGGGAATATCCCTATTTTACTTGAGAAGCCATGAAGCCATTCAAGGCTATATGGTTGGGAAGTAGGAAGATAGAATTAGGACCCAGAGCTTCTGAACTCAAGTCCTGGGCTCTTTCCCCTGAGCGTAAGCCTCTTTCTCTATAAAATGGTGATAATAACAAACCCACCCCATACACAAAGTCGCACAATGTAGGTTCTAAATCCCTCCCTTCTTTCTTACAACTTTGGTCCTGAAGAGTTGTGGCCACCTCTCCCCTGGGAATGTAGAAGTCTTGCTTTTGCCCCGCCCCCCGCCCCCATCAGGTTGTGAGTCTGGGCCCCAGGAGGTGTCCTGAAAGGAGGGTATTTGCTCCCAGACCTTCTCGGGACTCTGGAGGGCCGGCTCCCTCTTCTCTTTCCCGGTTTTGGCAGACGAGCTGACATCAGTGGGTGTTCCTAAGGAAAAGGAACTCTCAGCTGCCCAGCCCAGCTCCAGGCGCCCCTTCCCCCATGGCTCAGGACAGCCCCAACCCTCGCCTTAGATATTGCGGTGTTGAGAGGCCCTTTGAGCTCCCAGCCCCCTCCCTCTTCTCGAGGTCCGGGAGAGCAGCTCGCCCCCCTACTCCTGCCCCGAAAGAGAGGGGGCGACTAGAACCTGGGGAGCGGATGCTGGGAGACTCCGGAGAGTCGTGGGCGCCACGCGGCCGAGCCAAGGAAATGGATCCTCGGTCCTGGGGTTCCGAGGGGAGCTGTCCAACCCCGCAGGGTGAGCTGGAGAGAAGGTGGGCCAGCGCCGGGGAGGCGGAGGGAGCGGCGGGCTCCAGGCGGGGGTGCGGCAGCAACTCCCTCTCCAGACCGCCCCCCACGTGGCCGCAGCCGTCCCAGCCCCTCCGAGGAAGCGGCGCGGCTTCCTGCGGCTCGGGCGGGGGATATAGGCGCCCCCGCCCGGGCCCGGCTCAGCGCCGCCGCCCTTCTCCCTTGGTCGCCTCCTCGCCGCGTGATGGCCTCGCTCCGGGCGGAGCGCGCCGCCGGCTGCCTGCGGCTCCGAACGACCTGTGCCTGTGCCGGGCGGCCGGCAGCGCTCCGCCTCCTCCTCCTGCTGGGCGGTGAGCGCCGCGCCCCGGGGCCCGGGCGGGAGGTGCGGGAGGCCCGGGCGGGAACAGGGGCTGCACGGCCAAGGCCGGAACGGGCCCCGGCGTGCGGGTGCGGATGGGAGTACCGAGCAGCGCCGTCCTTCGGACAGTCCCTGACCCCACATCGGAGCGGGCATAGCCCGAGCTGCTTTCACTTGAAAGATGGGGTGCTGGTGGGGGCCCCGCGGAGACGTCTTGGGAGATCTCGAGGTGGCGAGGAGGAAAGGCGGGAGGGAACAGGGGCTGCACGGCCAAGGCCGGAACGGGCCCCGGCGTGCGGGTGCGGATGGGAGTACCGAGCAGCGCCGTCCTTCGGACAGTCCCTGACCCCACATCGGAGCGGGCATAGCCCGAGCTGCTTTCACTTGAAAGATGGGGTGCTGGTGGGGGCCCCGCGGAGACGTCTTGGGAGATCTCGAGGTGGCGAGGAGGAAAGGGACTTTGGGCCTGGATATGAGTGAAAAGGATTTGGTACCAGCCCTCCCTTCCCAGCACTGAGGCATCCCGCGCGGGGATGGATTACTCCTTTTTCTCTTCTGACGTGGCCCTGATTTCTAAGCCCCCCACCCCCCCTCAGACTCCACGGCCCAGATCCCCACCACCCCACCCTCCTCTCCTACTTCTTCCCACAGCTGTCCTGAAGCCCCAGGAATCCCTGGCTCAGCCTCTTTCCACCCCAAGCAGCTTGGAGTTAGAAGGTGAGTGCCCTGGGCTGTAGGAGGGCGGCTTAGAGCGCGGATGAGAGCCAAGTCAGTGGGGAGGAGGGTTCCTTTCCCACAAGGAAGGACCGACTCCAACGGATGCCCTACTCAACTCCCCTCTGTTTTCTCTTGGGGTTCCTTGTGATCTTTCTCCCTCTCATCCTACTAAGCCTCTGCCCAGCTCTGAGCTGGCCCTCCTCACAGATGGGTGAGAAGCCCCCAGGAAAGGTGTGTGTGGAAGTTCTTGTCAGGCTGGGATGGGAAGTGCTGTGGACATGCAAGTCATTATAAGATTCCTGAGCCAGGACTCTCTCCTCAGCCAGGAGTGTCTTGCTCTGGAAACTTTCTGAGGGGGTCCCATGTTTGAAGACAGGGACAGGGGTGCCACCTTGGAGGTACCTGGGCCAGAGGGTTTGGAGGGAGGGGCAGGGATGGTCACGGTGCAACAACTGTACCCACAGGGAAGACTGCGGAGGAGAACTATACGACAATTGTCCAACACTGCTGGGACTCTTATAAGTTTCATATGGACTCTATGGAAAAGGATTGGTGCGACTGGACCATGATTAGCAGGTAGGGGCAGTGCTGGAGGGTGGCTCAGGTCAGAGGCTGGGTTTGCTCCCTGCAGGTGGACCTTGAGTGAGTGTTGGACACTCCTCTCCCTGAGCCCAGCTCCTCCCTCACTCAAGTCCTCTACTGCCCCCAGGCCTTATAGCGACCTGCAACATTGCTTGGAGCACAGTGCGGAACATTTTGACCTGGGCTTCCCCAATACCTGGGCAGAGAGGATCATCTTTAAGACTCATCAGATCCACTTTGCCAACTGCTCCCTGGTGCAGCCCACCTTCTCCGATCCCCCAGAGGATGTGCTCCTGGCCATGATCATAGCCCCCATCTGCCTCATCCCCTTCCTCGTCACTCTCGTGGTATGGAGGAGTAAAGACAACGATGCCCAAGCCTAGGGTGGCAAGGGGCCATTTTACTCCTCTTCCCACCCCCTCCCCCCAGGTCTCTCTCCTCCCCTCCCTACCCCCTTTTCACACTCCCACCCCCACCACAGATCCTTGGATTGGAGGAAATGGAAGCTGGGTGGGGTCATAGCACAAGTGCTGTAATCTTACAAATAAAAGGGTTTTTTTTTAACAATGTGCCCCTCCCCCATTCCAGTGGGTCCTGTGTCTGCCACTCCCACAGGCCCTCAGCTCTGGGCAGCAGAACTGGAAGAATCTGGATGGCCCACTGTTCTGTTCACTTCACCTAAGCTTGCTGTCCCATCGCCCTCCCCCAACACCCCTTTGAAGGCCATACTACTCCTTCCTCTCAGGGTGGGGACTTTCCTGCTGTTATCCAAACCCAGCTCCAGGAAATAAGCAGGAAGAGACTCCCTTCCTGTCTGGACAGCAGCTGGGGGCCTGTGTTTGGGGGGATGTGGAGGAAGAGGCAAGAGAAGAATCTGCTGTGACTCCTGCAAGAAGGAAGAGAAGCTATCTGGAGTCCTGACTTTTCCCCTTCTTCGTGTCTTAGTTTACCCCCAGGGAAGAGGAATACTGACCTGAACAACAGGAATCTATCCCTAAGGACCTCAGGACTGAGATCAAGAAAGTGGGGGCTTCCACTACTAGGTTCACGACTCCCCCTCCCGGTCCCTGGCCCTTATCCTACATTGTCCTGGATGGGGTGTGGCCTACTGCCTGACCACACACTGCCCCCTGGTGTCCACTAAAGCCAACAACTAGAAAATGTATGTAATCTGGAAAAAGTTTCTGGCTGAGGAGCACTGGACCCTAGGGTTAGAGAACTGTCATCTACATAGCAACAACTAGTTCTTAGCTGGACACATCTATAAGCTTCCTGAAACATACCGATACTTTCTTAAGACACCTTCCCACTTTCTAGGGAAATACCTAGCCCCTTTCTGCAACTTACCATTTCTGTATATGAACACCCCAATATGTTCCCCGGACAGTAAGGCCCAGTTCTCACCAGGGAATCTTACATCCAGCCCTTCCTGGGACACACCTACTGTCACCAAAAACATCTGCAAAACAACTTTGTTCTCCATGGAGACACCTGTTTATTTGTTGTGGCACCCTCAGCTTCTCTAGGGAATTTTCTTTCCTCGTTGAAATATCTGCCTCCCTGAGTACATGCATATCTGTTTCCTGGCACATGCCTATCTATTCCATACATATATGCCTGTGTGCTTCCTAGACTGTGCCTATTCATTCTCTGAAACATACTTCTCCTTTCAGGACACATCTGTCTCTCTAGAGACACACCTGTTCCCTTAAGGATATTTGGAGTTTTCACCTGAGATAAATCTTTGCTCTATTTCCACGAATGTTTCTGTCTTCCCCAAGGATACAATCTATCCCCTTTCTGCCATATGTTTGCCTTCATGCATTTTACTAATCTACATTAGGGGCCTGCTGGCATAAGACACTGTATGTAGTGTATTGTATTGGAAAGATAGGTTAGATAGAGTCTAGTTTCAGCCCTCAATGGCTTTCATCTAGTGGGGAAGTTGACAAGTGTATAAATAAACAAAAACAATGGAGTGTGTGATGAGAGTAATGCAAGGGATACAAACTAAATGTTACCTGAGTGAAAAGCAAGGGATCACATGTGGCTGAGAAGATCACAGCAGGCATAATCACAGGAGGATGACTGCAGAGTTTGTACATTACTAGGCCTTAGATGGAGTACATTTCCCTAGGGGAGAGAGTAGAAAGGGAGGTGCATTAGGGAATTATTGCAATAATTAATCTAGGCTTGAGAAAATGAGGACACGGACCAAAGGAGTAGTGAGTGGGGAAACTGAAAAGAATTATAAAGCAGGGGATATGATTAAAAATAGGGGAGGGGGGCTGGCCCGTGGCTCACTTGGGAGAGTGTGGTGCTGATAACACCAAGGCCAGGGGTTCGGATCCCTATATAGGGATGGCTGGTCAGCTCACTTGGGAGAGTGTGGTGCTGACAACACCAAGTCAAGGGTTAAGATCCCCCTAATGGTCATCTTTAAGACAAAACAAAACAAAACAAACAAACAAAAAAAACCGGGAGGGAATCAGCAGGAATTGGGTGGAGCAGGTGAAGGACAGAGGTTAGGGATGACTCAGACTTTGGACCTGAGTTACTAGGACAATGATGGCAATAATAATAGAAAAGGGCCGTTTAATAGAAAAGGAGGAGAAACTGGCCTGAAGAAAAGGATGTATAGGGCTGGCCAGTTAGCTCAGTTGGTTAGAGCAAAAAGTCAAGGGTTCAGAGCCACCAAAAAAAGAAAAGAAAAGAAAAGGATGTACAACATGAGGTAACAATGGAACAAGCTGTTATGTCCCACAGAGAGTTAGGAACGGGGTGGTGGGGGTGGAAAGAGGTTGAATCTGGAAATATAGGTTTGGCAGTCTTCTGCACAGAAATGCAACATGAAGCCATAGGAGGGATGAGAGCTCTCAGAGAGAAGGTTTATTGAAAAGAAGGTTCTGGGCCGAGCCCGTGGCTCACTTGGGAGAGTGCGGCGCTGGGAGCGCAGCAGCGCTCCCGCCGCGGGTTCGGATCCTATATAGGGATGGCCGGTGCCCTCACAGCGCTCACTGGCTGAGCGCGGTGCAGCCGGTCTCAAAAAAAGGACAAAAAAAAAAAAAGAAGAAGGTTCTTAGAACACACTCACATTTTAAAAATAAGTGGAAAGAAAGGAAACAGAACAATCAGACAGGTAATAGCAAAACAAGGATAAAGCAGTGCTATAAAGGCAAAGGAAATGGTGATATTTGAAAAGACATTATCAGTTGAATGATTCATTCATTCACTCAACAAGTATTTGTCACTCTGTGCACCAGGAACTGTACACAATGCAGGATGAACTTGGGTAAGGGAAACGTTAGAGACCAGACAGTAAATTGAGGTGGCAGGGTCAAGGGCTGTACATATTTTCAAATAGGGATAACCTGAGCATGTCTGTAGCCTAGGGGAGAGGAGCCAGGGGAAAGGAAGAGAGAAAAATGATAGACAAGTCCTGAAGAAAGTTGTAAAAGGAGATATGCCAAAGGGCTGGCCCTGTAAAAGAATAAAAATACTTCTTCCTTTCGCTCTAAAAGGAAGAAGGAATAAAAGTAGAAAGGAGTTTTTGAGGGATGAATCGAGTATGGTGACAGAGAGGGAAAGATTAAGGGATACACATCCATGGCCTCAATCTCATAAAACATGAGGGAAAGGCATTCTGCAGAGAGCATAGAGATGGAGACAAGTGGAGTGACTTGATGAACGTGGAAATGTTTGAATAGTTACCTTGAGGGTGAGAGAGAGTCAATAAAAGACACTAAGGGTCACTGGGCTGCCCTGAGAGCCCAGCAGTGAGGTTAGAGAATCTGGGGCTCAGAAAACACGTTCTGGTGATTTTTCCCACAATACTCCATAGCCCAGGAGTGGGGAAAAAAGAGGATGGGGCGGGGGGGGGGAGGGTCATGGAGCAACAATCCTGGTTTGGAAACTGACCAGTAGGTAGGAAGGCAAGGGGACAGAACTGAGTATTCTAGGCTGGGTAAGGAGTCAGGTAAGACCAAAAGGGGTCCTGGAACTTGAGACTAGAAAGGTGAGGAGGTGGGAGAGATTGAGAGATAGTTGGCTGTGTGACTGGGGTCCAAGATGGCAGCTCCAAATCATGAAAGCAGAGCCGTCTTTAGAGATACCAGCTACGAAGAGTACTCCCACAGGTGCCGCAGGAGACTAAGGGATGGTGGAGTCAAAGGGCATAGGAACTGAGGAGACTGAGGAATTGTGAGGTGTTTAAGTTAAACGGCAATTGATACGTGTCAATATTAACAGAAGGCTAGTATAGTGGAAACAAGCGTAGGCCGGGGTCTGGAGACCCGGGTTCTACCTGCAATTCTGCAAACTGCGCCGCTCTGAGGAAGTCACTCGCCTTCTTGGGGTTGAACCAGAGGACTTCCCAGGGCTCTTGCTGCTCTAAAAGGTAAAGCTTTTTAAGATAATGGCAGGGGATTGGCTGAGGACGAAGACTCCTCCTATTGGGCCGCCTCTCTCCGGAGAGGCATCCGGAACCTTTCTGCTGTGCTCTCTGCCCCCATGTGCCGAAGCGGAGACCGGAAGTCCTGTGCCGGGAGGTTCCGGGTTTCCTGGGCTACGACGATGGCGATGAGTTTCGAGTGGCCGTGGCAGTATCGCTTCCCGCCCTTCTTTACGTGAGGCTCAGACCCCGAGAAACCCCTCTGGCCCTCTCCCACCCCTCCCCCGGGCCCTGGGCTCAGCCCTGATGCTTCACATGCGGAGGGGGAGAAAGGATCCGGCCGCTAACACCCTCGGCCCCTCACTTTCTCCCCCAAACGCGCGCCCGGGCAAGTGCTGCTTCTTGCCTCCTCACGCCCTCTAATTCTGCACCTCACTGCCTTCACCCGGCAGGTTACAGCCGAATGTGGATACTCGGCAGAAGCAGCTGGCCGCTTGGTGCTCTTTGGTCCTGTCCTTCTGCCGCCTGCACAAACAGTGCAGCATGACGGTGATGGAAGCTCAGGAGAGCCCGCTCTTCAACAACGTCAAGCTACAGCGTATCCTCCCTCAGGCTCTCCCACAGCCCCCACACATGCACTTCCACACTTTCCCACATGCCTAGACCTTACTCCGTCTATCCCCCACCCGCACCCCTTTTACGCACGGTAAGCAGGGTTCCCACCTAACTGGACTTGGAGGTGTAGCGAGTATGCATAGCTGACATCCATTTTACCCCCAAAGTGCAGTGTCAGAACTTTTTGTCCTAGGCAGTGATGTGTGCTCGGGTGTCATTCAGATCTTAGGAGCCTAGTTCCAAGCTTTTTAACCTGAGCCCTTTTGGCTGTTTAAATCTCTTGTCCTTCTGTGTGAGGTGCAAACCTCGGTACTACCTTAGATAATGCTCTCCATGTCCCCCTCCTCTCAGTAAGTAAGAGTTATTTGTTTTTGCTCCTGGTTCATCCCTAAAATATATGTGGAGAAATGCTGAAGGAAGATGAGATGACAGAAGGTGAAGAATGGTAGTACCTTTCATTTTCTAAAGCTCTTTCTTTTAATTGGAAGAATTTCTCTTTTCCTTCCTCCCCCGAATATCCAGGAAATGCCTATATATCTTGCTAGGAAATTGCACGCATATATGTGTGGAAGAGAGAGGAAAGGGGCAGGTGGTTCTCAACATGGGACTGGCTTGGAGAATTCTTATCCCACCCTGTTCAGGTGTATGCCATTCCCTTAACCTTAAACCAGGAAAGCTACCTGTGGAGTCAATCCAGATTGTGTTAGAGGAACTAAGGAAGAAAGGTGGGTCTAGTTCCCCAGATTTCTTATTTTTCTTCCTAGTTGGGTTTTCCTGAGGTCAGCTTAGGACAAGTCTTTTTCCTTTAATAATTTTTTTCTCTCTCCTGGCTTGAAGCCCAGAGTGTTCTATACAGTAGATGGCCCAATTCCCAGGTCCTTTCCCCCATTTGTATACAAAATTGAAATCTCTCTGTGCCCTAAACCTGAAGAGGGGTGGAAGAAGGAGAATGGGTATCTTGTGGATAGTAATAGTAGAATAAATATTGAATCTTTCTGAAAGCTGAGTCACTTTCACTCTGTCCCACCTTGATGTTTGCCTGTTTGTCCCTTTTTAGAGCTTGATGCTTTCCTTTTTTTTTTTTTTTTTTTTTTTTTTTTTTAAAGATGACAGGGAAGGGATCTTAACCCTTGACTTGGTGATGTCAGCACCACGCTCTCCCAAGTGAGCTGACTAGCCATCCCTATATAGGGATCTGAACCCGTGGCCTTGGTGTTATCAGCACCACACTCTCTCAAGTGAGCCACGGGCCGGCCCTATGATGCTTTCATAAGTATCTGTTTTACAGGCAACCTCGAGTGGTTGGATAAGAACAAGTCTAGCTTCCTGATCATGTGGCGGAGGCCAGAAGAATGGGGGAAACTCATCTATCAGTGGGTGAGACAGTCCTGCTGCCAAGTACTCAGCAATGACCCATGGCAAAGGAGAAGTATATCTGTGCACAGCAGATACCTAGTGTTCCCAGATCCAGGCTGAGCAAAATGGGGAGGAGGCAGAAAGGAAGTGTAGGCCTTCTAGGCAAAACCTCTTTCAGTGACTCAATTTCTTTGGTTGCACAGAACCTCCCTTTCTTTGCCAGTAGGAGGCCAGAGGCTATGTGAGGCCATGTTTGGAGAATGCAGTACTGGGAACCATGAGTGATATTGTTGGCTGGAGCCTCTGGCCACAGGAGATAAATAGGGAAAGGAAAGGAAGAAGAAAAAAAAACCCTGGAGCCCCTCCCCCACTGCACCCTTATGGGGCTGTCCACAATGTGAATGAGACATTCTGAACCAGTGTGGGTCTGGGGACAGAATACTCTTCCCCCTAGATTCCTATCCACCACTAGCCCCAAATATTCCCAAGGGAGAGAGGAGGAGAAGAAGCATCAACAACCTAAATATAACAAACATACACCACCCATTCCTGAACAGGAAAACAACCAGAAGGAGAGGTCACTCCTCAGAAACGTGAAGGTGTGTGGTTTAGTGGTTCCAGATGTGTGTGTACATATACAAATATAGTGCCTGTAGGGTTTACGGTTTTTAGGCCGCTCTGCAGAAGTGATATTGAGGCCTGGTTTGGGAATAGGTACCTTTCCTGGATCAGAGAAGTAGATCTGATGAGTTTACTTTTTCCCAGGAAATTCTTTTTTTTTTTTTTTTTTAAAGATGACCGGTAAGGGGATCTTAACCCCTGACTTGGTGTTGTCAGCACCACGCTCTCCCAAGTGAGCTAACCCGCCATCCCTATATAGGGATCTGAACCCGTGGCCTTGGTGTTATCAGCACTACACTCTCCCAAGTGAGCCACGGGCCGGCCCTTCCCAGGGAATTCTTGGTCTTTATTCAGTCCTCATTTTCTGTGTCCACAGGTTTCCAGGAGTGGACAGAACAACTCCGTGTTCACCCTGTATGAACTAACCAATGGGGAAGACACAGAGGATGAGGGTAATGGCTTTCCCTTCTCCCCCAGTTTTGTCATCTGAATCCTCCTCTCTCCAATCCTGTTTTAACTGATATTCAGACTTCCCATTTCTCTACTTCTGAATTCCATATATAGGGTGTGTATTCCTCATCTGAAAATATGAAATCTGAAATGCTTCAGAATAAGAAATGCTCCAAAATCCAAAACTTTTTTTTCTTTTTTTTTTTATCCATGTAAAGATTTCATGGTACAAAATCTGAAACTTTTTGAGCACTGATATGATGCTTGAAGGAAATGCTCATGGAGCATTTCAGATTTTGGATTTTCAGTTTAGGATGCTCAACTGGAACATATCGTATAATGCAAATATTAAAAAATCTGAAAAAATCTGAAATTCGAAACACTTCTAGTCCCAAGCATTTCAGATAAGGAATACCCTCTACTACATAATAAAAAAGTCCTTAACCCATGTCCAAGGATTCCATAAACCACCTGAATTTACATGTAAAAAACCCAAATTTTGTTTGTGTGGGTGTATGTGCATTTTTGTAGGGATAAAGTTCATATTACAGGATTTTCAAGGGTGTCTGTTACCCATGAAAAGTTAAGAATTACTGCTGTAGATGCCAAGTGAAGAGCCAGGGCCAGGGATTAAGGATGAAATCTCATTCCTTGCTGACTCAGGCTCTCTTTCACCCTTTATTCTTAGAGAGGGCTCAAGATTTGTGGACGTCAGCTGAATGGACTGAGCCAACACCCCCATCCCCACTCCCAGTGCATTTAAATACTTTGGTTTCTGGTCATGCAAGGATTTGTATACTGTTTAGTTTTTACATAGTGTAAACACTTTCTCGGTTCTTTTCTTTGACTCCAAATCATGATCCCCAGGATCACCAAAAGTTCCATCTTAGCTGGGGTAATACGGGGTGCCTCCCCTTTCTGCCAGGACTTGGCCCAGCAGAGTTTACAGCTCTTGGCTGTTACCCCCCTGCCCTGCAGGCCTCTGCTTGCTACTCCCACCATCACCCCATGACTTCAGCTCTGCAGCCTTGCCCAGCCCACCACTCAGGCTGGGCAAAGCTGGAAGCTTCCTCAGAAAGTAAGCTTGGCTTGAGCTGGGCCCCCTCGGGGTGAAGTGAGCAAGCCTGTTAGGGCTTGCCTGCTGCTTCTCACATCCCCTTGCAGTATCTTGCCATATCTCCTCATACTCAGCTGGCCATCAGCTCTCAGCTCTGTCCCTTTTAACTAGGAAAGGGCAGATATCAGTGCTGGACTTTCCAGTCTCTTGGCCAGGAGTACAGTCTGTACTTCTTTGTGTTAGGACAGCCCTGATTTGTACAGATGTGCAGCTAAGGTCAGTGTCCAGTGACAAGGGCCCTAACCTCCCCAGGCTTGATTGTCAGGGCCCCTTCTTTGTGGCCTGAAAGCAGATGATGTTACTCTTGTGTATCAGACACTAAAGGGGGAAGGGAGTAGTGCAGTGAGGGTTGAGTCTGACAGGATAATCAGGCAGGGGGAGATAAGCATGAACTCATTGCATGCTGATTCAGGCTTTCTTCCACCCCTTACTTCTAAGGAGTGCCAAGAAGTGTGGGTGGTGGCTGCAGCAGTATACATGGCACATGAATACCCTGGCTCTGGGAGGTCTCATCTTTCAGCTGGACTGCTCTCCTCATAAGGCCTTAACGAGCTGAGTGTCCCTGACTGCTTATCTCTCTTTGTCCAGAGTTTCATGGGCTGGATGAGGCAACCCTACTGCGGGCCCTACAGGCCCTACAGCAGGAGCACAAGGCTGAGATCATCACCATCAGCGATGGCCGTGGCGTCAAGTTCTTCTAGCAGAGACCTGTTTCCCTTTACTTCTTACCTCCCACTTTTCCAGGGCTTTTCAAAAGGAGACAGACCCAGTGTCCCCACAGACTGGATCTGTGACTCCATCAGATTCAAATGGGCTCCAGTCCTGAAGGCTGGGACCCAGGGATGGGTTTCTCACTTACCCCATATGTCTCTTCCCAGGGTAGGGTAAGGCTGAGGCACCAGGGAGAAAAAATATACTTCTTGCCCTACCTCCTCTCCCATCCTAGACTGTCCCTGTGCCAGGGTCTGTAAACCCAACTCTTTACATGTGTTCACACACGTAAGTACATATCCACATAGGCCTGCACAAACTTCTGTCTTCTCCCCTTACCCCGTTAGCTGCTGTTGCCTCTCCTTTCAGGCTGGTGCTGGATCCTTCCTAGGGGATGCGGGCAAGCCCTGGCTGCAGGCAGCCTTCCAGGCAATATGAAGATAGGAGGCCCGAGAATGGGCCTGGCAGTGAGAGGCGGGCCCGACACTGATTTATGATATTAAAATCTCAACTCCCACTGCCTGCCTCTTAAATTACTATTGGAATGGGGTTGGGGAGGTCTGTGAAGTGTTACTACCTGAGTGAATCCCAGCCAACGAGTCTGGAGAGAAGGCCTGTGGCCTTTGTAAGGGAAAAGTTCCTCCAGGGCGCGGGCAGGCTCCAATGAGTTTGGTTTTACATCTGCTGGGTGGGCTGTGTGGAGGAGTGCTGATGGCACACAGCCTGAGAACAGAGTACTTTCTCTCTGAATTGGAGTCACTTAATGGCTCCTCCTTCCCTCACCATCTCTCCCATGAAAGTCTTGAACTACTCTGAAGCCTCTCCCTCTACCCATCTGGTCTGGGTGAAGCAATTGTGGCCAAGGGGAGCAGGGTGGGTGGTAAACCGGATGTGGACTTTGGTTTATTGGAGACTTTGGCAAACAGAAGAGGGAGAAAGGAGAGCCCACATAGCAAAAACAGCCACTCTGACCAGGGAGGGCTAGGCTGTGGCCAAGGTGGGGTGGAGATGGGTGACCGGCCTCTTGGTTTGGGGGAGGGGGTTGTCCTAGGGTGCACACACCCATGCCTGTGCAGAACAGAGGGACAGCGGCAGCACCTTTCCACTGACCTCTGTTCGTCCGGGACCACTCTGGACGATTAGGAGGGGGTGGCGCTGCTTTATCTGGGGTATGCAGGCGAGTGGTGGCCTCCCCCAAGCTCCCCCCACACACAGTAGGGCCAGGAGCCTCGGTCACGTTTCTTCTCCCTGTCCCTGTGTCGGTCCGGCCCCCGCCCACCCCACACAAACAGGTTTGCGCACTTGTATTTAGTGGGGGAGGACACACCAGCGCTTCCCACTCTGCTCTTGCCTCGAGTGAGACAGGAGAGTGCGCGGCCCGCCGGCCAGGAGGGAAGCGGCCGGGGGCGGGGCGGCGGGATCCACAGTGCCCGCCGGCAGCTCGGAGGGGCTGGCCCGGGAGGGGGGGGATGGCCGGGGGCGGGACACGTAATA